CCTCCTGAGTAGCTGGGATTACAGACACGCGCCACCATGCCCAGCTAATTTTTTGTAGTTTTAGTAGAGACGGGGTTTCACCATGTTGACCAGGATGGTCTCGATCTCTGGACCTTGTGATCCACCCGCCTCGGCCTCCCAAAGTGCTGGGATTACAGGCTTGAGCCACCGCGCCCAGCCCTGACAACAAAATTCTTGGAGTTATTACTAATGTCTCCAAATAAGCAGTAAAGTGAAATGAAGTGTTTTTACCTTTTTCTTCTAAAAAAATGAAATGCTTGCTGGAGAGTAACAGGTAAAATGGAGGATATGAACATATGGGCTGACATTTTCTGAAAAACGCCATCAAAACACACCCCTCGCCATGAGAACAGGGCAGATGCTTACTTAGTGAAAGAAATCTTAGAATAAGACACTTGAAGTCTCAGAAATTGGAGCATAGCTCAGGTCCACTAACAGTGGGCTCACACAGCCTACTTGAGGTCTCCTCCCCTCTCTCACACCTTCAGTCTATATAAAGATGGGCAGAATACAAGATCCCAACCTAACACTGTGGTTCATAGGAGAAAACCAATACACTTCAGATGCAGTGATTAGATAAACAATAATTCATCTATTAATACCCTCAGAGAAAACAAAAAGGTCTGGCCAGAACTGCCCGTGTTTTGCACAAGTTAAAAAATAAAGGATCTGGCAGCTATGCAAATACATTTATGGGAGAGAAGGGGAAAGAGAGAAAGGAGGAGGGGAATAGGGGCAGGGGTTATTTTACTGTTAACATTATTGGACCTGAACCAGGAAGCAGGAGGGGAAAAAAGAAAAAGAGGAGGCGGGGATGAGGGGAAGGGACATTTAAAGGAAGAAGAGCCCAAAAACTATCTAAAATTGAGGGAAGTAGAGGGGGAAGTTGGAAGATATAGGAGTTCTAATATCTTTATCTTTCAGAGTTTGGAGCCAACGGATAGTGTCTAAAAAGAAATTTGTAATAAAGAAGACTAACATTTTAATATTCTTTAAAATCATTTTTTAGCTTTTAGAAAATAGCTCTTAAAGAAACATTTATGTGACGTTCAAAAATTCTTCAGTTGCATTTCTTTTTCTTATGTCATGTTAAAACAAATGTAATATTTCTATAATTAACATATTAATAGAAACTATGATATAACTCCATTTTTCTAAAAGTATTTCCTTTTATCAATCTACCTACCTAAATATGCATATGTACGTATCTACATAATCACAGATACAGATACATGAAATACAATTTACCTTTACTGTGTGAAGGTAATGAACTTGGATGTTTTTATTGCATTCTTATTCTTCTCCTTTTCATTTAAAAAGGCTGTTACTAGGTTACAACCCACACTTTGTAAAACACTACATGTTCTTTCTTGCCTGTATTCACAAACTTTGTTTCTTAAAAAAGTATAAAATTTCATGTTTTACAACTGCCTCAACTTGCTTTTAAATGAGTATAACATGAAAACAGTTATGTTTCTTACTTTCATTGCAAAGACAGCCAAGTTATAATAACACCAGGAAAAGTGTTATTATACTGTCACATAATGGTATCTCAATAACAGGAAAGAAATGAGTAGATCTGAGTGCATAAGTTCTTAAGTTATTCTGCTGTGTTAAGTAGAGGGTTACATTCTCCTACCTCTGAATCACAGTAGAGAGGAGGTGAGTTTACGGAACAGCAGTGGGAGGCAAAGTCTGAGCGCCTGTCAACCAGCTCTGCCAGTTCCTTGGGTGTGACGTTGGGCAATTTTGCTCTTAGTCTTTCTGCCAGTCTGAAAAACCATTTAAATGTAAGATCTTACTAAATGTATTTATTTTATAAAAATTTCTAATGCAAAATAATAGCCATTTCAAATCTTTTACAATAAAAATGAAAATAGAAATACTTGCCAGTCTCAAGAAAATTCTACACCTGTGGTATAGAAACGTCAATTTGAGGTCAGAAAGTGAAACCTATGCCTCTTCGAGATCATGAACGTAAACATACAAACATTGGCTGAATTGGAATTCCAGTCTTTATTCTTTCATTTGCTCATTATTTCAACATGGAAGAATACATCTATTTTTTTTCCTAACCTTTCATCTTCTCTTCAGTTTTAGATTTCAAATTCCTTAAAAAATATTTCCTTTACAGGACCTCATGCCAACTTAATGCCTTTTTTCTCTCATAATTTATATACTTTCACCTTTAGTTTACCTACTTCTCAACTCACTATGTTGGAAAACACTGATATGAGAGTCAGAAAACTTTGGCTTTTGTTTTTAGCTCTACTAAAAATGAACTCTCCATCTCTCTTTCAGGACGGTGATGGGACTTTGTCTCCTGATTCTTTCAATTTGAACATTCAATGATCTCAGTGTCTCTTCACACTCAAAATAAACAACCCAGCCTGGTTTTATGACTTTCTTCAGGAAATGCTTGCCAGTCCAGCAGTGGGCAATGGGAGGTAAGAAGACCCATATTAATCTAGACTTGGGCTTGGCAAGGGTGGGTGCTGGGAAGGCACAAAAGGGTAAAGGGGACTAGTTATTTCAAAAAAGCATTGTTGAACCCCAGGGTGGTGGGGAGGAGGGGCTCAAATGAGGCAAGAGGAGACTCATGCAAAAAAGAAGTAGGGGGGAGATGGGTAGGGATTAGGATCTAAGAATTTTACTAAATATAGCTTGGGAAAATGACATGGTTTTCTCAATTTTCTCAATGGAGACTTTCCTCAAGAACCCAGTACCACTTCTTTCCTTACTAATGGCCTATTATTTTACAGTTAATGCCTATTTATAGAAAAATGCTTTTTCCTCCTCTTCATTGAGAAAAATAACTTAATTGAGAAAAAAAACCACCAATAATTTTATTGGTGGTTAAGATTTCTATTTCTAATTTATAGGGAATATATGCAGGTGATAGCTGACACTATGCTTGATTGAAAGTTTGGGTATTCTTGCCAGGCAATATGCCAAGAAGTTATAATGTTTCTCAGCAGTTTTAAAGGTCCTCAATTTTATATAGCAATATCTACAGAAAATTCTGGGATAAGAATGTTGATAAGCTATGTACTCATTTTGCCATTTTGAATCAAGTTCCTGCAGATAGATTTTGTAATCTATAGTTTTGTGGCTGTGTTTCAATTGCCCACGCACTTGATACACATGACAATTTTCCCCTGGAAAAACACTTAGCTGCTTCTTATACAGATAATAAATTTTGAACTACTTTTTAAAAACTAAAACGACTTAGGGGGTACAAGTGTATTTTTGTTACATGGATGTATTGCATAGTCATGAATTCTAGGCTTTTAGTGTAACCATCACCCAAATAGTGTACGCCGTACCCAAGAGGGACTTCCTTATCCTTCACCCTTCTTCTACCCTCCCACCCTTTGGGGTCTCCAACGTCTATTATTCCACTCTATGAGATTCTGACTACTTAAAAAAACTCCTAATTGCACCTCCATTTTTTATTGTTCACTGAAGACAATCTTATGTTTTCAACTATGCTTTCAGTTCATAGTACTAAGAAAATATTATTGATGAATTTGGAGGATACAGCCAGAAAATGTTTCTTACTTTTTCTTGTACTCAGTAAATGTATTTTCTGAATAATCTGCACATAGTTCTTGTCCCTTGTCAATGAAAGAAGCTAGTTCCTTCTTTAGTAGAGGGCCCTGTAAGAAAACAATAATTGCATAACAAAATTATTTGTCTTGAAACATTGTCCCATCAGGCCGTCAAATCAAAATGTTGCCTACATTAAGCATTGGCAAATATCTTCTACAGAAGGCTGGATAATAAATATTTTAGGATTTGCAGGCCATATATGGTCTTTGTTGAAACTACTCAATTCTGTACAGAAGCAGTTGTAAGCTTTGCAGAAACAATGAGGATGACAGTGTTCCACTGGAAGTTAATGTATAAACACTGAAGTTTGAATTTTGTATAATGTTCATGGGTCATGAGATACTGATGTTCTATTGTTTTTTTTCCCCCAGCAATGTAAAACTGTAAAACCATTTTTCTATTTTTGGTTTGTAGGCCATACAAAAGTAGGCAGTGAGCAAGTTTTGGCCCATGATCTATAATTTGCCAACCCTTGATGTACGTGCTTCATAAAGAAAATCTAGCAAATATACCTTAACATTAAAACAGGCAGTTGAGTCTTCAACATCACAGCATTCACCAAGTCTTTTTAGGGTTGGGTCAAGTACTTTACTGAGGAATACTTCTGGAAGATGAGTCCTTCTGCTTAGTTCAAGTGTATACCTAGCATGAGGGAGAAAAGGAGATATTTACTTCTTTTGCGTGTGATGGAGTCTCCCTCTGTCACCCAGGCTGAAGTGTAGTGGCTCCACCTTGGCTCACCGCAATCTCCGCCTCCCGAGTTCAAGCGATTCTCATGCCTCAGCCTCCTCAGAAGCTGGGATTACAAGCACCCGCCACCATGCCCAGCTAATTTTAGTATTTTTAGTAGAGTTGGGGTTTTACCATGTTGGCCAGGGTGGTCTGGAACTTCTGACCTCAAGTGATCTGCTTGCCTCAGCCTCTCAAAGTGCTGGGATTATATGCATGAGCCACTGCACCTGGCCTACATTTTGAAATGTGAAACAACTATCATAAAGGCAGAGCTGTGGTTTCTGCATCTTAATTAAAAGAAGAGATTTAGCTCAGACTGACTCTAAATTAACATGTTTTGGATTACAAAATACTTTCATTGAGATACAAGTTATTAATACTTGCTACTGTGACTAGTCAATACTGAGTTAAAGCTTTGTGTGTAATATACATTTATATTATATATAAACATATCTATTTCAAATGCATATGGAACTGTCTTTGTGCAAACATAATATGTTTGACCCCATATAAAGCAACATGTGGGTACTTTAGAAGGCTTTTCTGTGAAAATAGGTTTGTGTAAATTCCTTTATTATGTCTTATCCCACTGCCGCCTATGCACTTATTTTTTTTTTCCCCCATTGGTTCAACATGTATTTATTGGGCAGCTACTATGTGCCAGACACTCTACAGCAGTAAAAACAACAGACAAGGGCAATGAAGTGGAAAGGGCTTGGTATGTTCCAGGAACTGAAAGTAGGCCAACACAATCAATGGATTGGAGGGGGCCACAGTGGAAGCAGAAAAGAGGCTATTACAGGCATTTAGGCGAGAGGCGATGGTGGCTCGAACTAGGACAGTGGCAGAAGAGATGGCGAGAAGGGAACACATGTACAATCCACTTAGCTGATAGAACTGACAGGACACTCAGAGGGCACCCTCGGAACATTAAGG